GTACTGTACCCTCGCCCCCTTTACAGTGGGTCCGATGAGGACATAAATGTACTGTACTGTACCCTCGCCCCCTTTACAGTGGGTCCGATGAGAACATAAACGTCCGTACTGTACCATCGCCCCCTTTACAGTGGGTCCGATGAGGACATAAACGTACGTACTGTACTGTACCCTCGCCCCCTTTACAGTGGGTCCGATGAGGACATAAAGTATGAAAACCTGGTTTCATACTAGATATGCGACAGCTCCTTTTTCATCAGGAGGAGCAGAGTTCTTCTTCATGGGTGTTTTGTGGATCCAGACAGCAGCAGAAACAGCAACGATCCCCAAAACCGGTGCAACCAGAACAAGATGTTCCCGACCTGCAGGTCCTCCCTCCTTGCTTCCTCTCTCCTTGTCTCCTCCCTCCTTGTCTCCTCTCTCCTCGTCTCCTCCCTCCTCGTCTCCTCCCTCCTTGCCTCCTCCCTCCTGGGTCCCTGCAGGAGAGAAGCAGGTGTGAGTGTGAGCTGTCAGCAGCTGAAGAACAACAGAATCCATTTCCTCTCCAAACTGCTGTCCCACATGATCTCCTGCACTCTGATCACTGCACTCAGACCAGCTGCTTTCTACAGAGTCTCATCAGCAGCATCTTTACACCCCAAACATCTGATCTGAGATGTTTCCCTCTCACACCAACAAGCAGGAAGCTGCTGCAGCTCTCACCCACCAACACACTCACCTGGAGAAACCACAAGATGGATGGAGGTTTTGAAGATGGTTTTCCTCTGGCCTCTTCCTCCCTGATAGACTCTACACTGATATGGTCCTGTATCATGTATCTTCACATCCTTCAGAATCAGAGACACGTCTCCATCCTTCATCTGTCTGTCCTGCAGATCCACCCGGTTCCTGAAGGATGGATTCTGGCCGTCTGACTCAAAGTAACCATCTCTGTACAAAATAACACCATCTGGATCCAGATCCGGTCTGAACCACCTCACAGCTGTGATGTTTTTCTCCTTTCCAGCTCCACATGGCAGAGTGACGTTCTTTCCAGCTTCAGCTGTGATGTTGATTCTCTGTTCTGCAGAGAGGAAGAAACACACAGCAGAGAGGTTAAAGAGCTCAGAGTGGAGCTCTGCACCTCCACAGCAGCATCTTAAAGAATAACTCAGGTATCGTCTTTTCTTGGCTCGATTCTTGTACTTTGAGCCTGAGAATAAACCAGAGAAACAATCAGAGTTTCGATGTCATTAGAGTGGAGGGTAGATTTGAGGATTTTCTGATTTTTGCTAAAACGTCAACAGTGATTGTGGCCAAACGGTGTGAGATCAGGCCTCGTGGCTCCAATATGTTGGAGGCCAGTCTCTTACGACCCGTTTAATAATCAAATGAGGTTTCTTGGAGGTCATGGGTCTGAGCAATGAGGCCCGGAAGCGGCCTATTTTTGGGCCCGTTTTTCGACCTTCCCCATTCATTTCCTATGGGACGGCGTTTCGCCTTTTTTGCCATTTATTCGAAAACAGCAGAACCAATGAGAGAGAGAGATACTGGCATGCGCCCCGTGGTCCGTACGGACATGTGTGTCTTTTCTGGGCCCAATCCGTCAAACTGCACAGGACTAATTAGGCGCTGAAATTTGGGCGGGAACAGAGGAACTATAAGGAGCGGAATGAATATGCACCATAGTTATGGGGGGGGGGGGCTGCTGCTGGCAGTGACCCCTCTAATAACTCAGATATTGTGTTTTCTTGGCAAGATTCTTTTACTTTAATAGAACAGAAGCTGAATCTGAAGCTGACCCTGACCAGGAGCTGATCCGGGTCCAAACGGGTCATTTATCCTGTAAGTCGGTGCTGGGCTCTGAAAGCTGTCAGGGTCTCCATCTAAAAGAGCCCAGAGCGCCTGTGTGCTGGACATTAATCTGCTCTGCTGGACCCGGCTGAGCCAGTTCGGGCAGCTTCTTCTGAGACGAGGTGAGAAATGAGAGTTTTGTCCCGGAAGACGTGGATCTGAGGTCTGATGGACAGAAGAGGAGTTTGGAAACAACCTCAGACACAACTCAGTGTCTGAGTTTAACTTTTATAATGAACAAAACTGTTAGTAAATGACATGAAATCCACTAATAAAGTCAAACAGAGTAAAGTTGGTAACATAAGTAAATCCTAACTCTATAATGAGGCGTCGGACATTTTGAAATGGCTCCTGAAACTTGGCTTCTTTCCGTATTTCCTGTTTGGGGCTTTCAGAGGCTTTCCCGCCCTGTTTCAGCTGCACTGAGCTGCTGTTTCAGCGCTCTCAGCCGGTGTTCTGTCAGGTCAGCACACCCCAACAAACCAGGATACCCATAGTCAATACGCATGCGCATGACGTCAAATTTTCGCTTGCCCCATGCCCCGTCTGACCAGCATACCCATAGTTAATATGCGTGCGCTACCTTTAGCAGAAATCTAAGAGATTAAAATTGACGAAGTTTACTAGACTACTTTATTTATGTGTGATATGATAAACAAAAGGTTGTAGTTTAGGGTAAACACTAGGGATGGGACGGTTTCTGAAAACCGTCTGAACCGTTCGGTTCGACTGTCTCGGTTCGGTTCGCGTGTGTACCGCACGGTTCATGCACTGCTCCTTTTTCTCAGAGGGAAGCGTTTACACTCCAGAGCAGAAGGGGGCGCTACTGCACCCAAAGCCAACCACCAGTAGGAAACAAGAAAAAGAAGAAGCAGCGTAGTCGATAAAAAATCAGACCGCCAACAGCAGTTTCTAGGTCTGCTGTATGGACCACTTTGCATTTAGAGGGAAGCACATGTTGGAATTAGCACTGTTTCCTCGCTTGCAATGCCAGAATCTTACCTACGTTTAACCTAAGACTGTCACAATAATGTGTCAAATGTCAGACTGCTTTTTTCTTTCAGTTTTAACTAGGGATGGGGATCGAAACCCGGTTCTATCAAGGACCCGGTTCCACTTTTTTCAAAACCCGAAAATCAATAACGTTTGGGCTTATCGATACCTCTATCGAGTCTGGTCGTTTTTTTTATTATTACAATAGTAATTGTGAAATCTGTGTTGTAATCGGCAGCATACAAGCTAGTTAGCTTGAAAAGTAAATAAAGTTTCAGACGTGCTGCGTGATGATGTGTTCAGATTGGCTCAGTAAAACGACAATTAGGTTTTCATGATGCGTTTAAGTGTAACGTAAAGAAAAGGGATATTTAGTTTTTGGCGAGAAACATGAGTAATACAGTTGTATATTGCTCTAATTACTTTAGAATATATATTTAAACTACCGATGCCAACATTTATTAAAAATTACATTTAATTTAAAATACAATTATTTA